TCCCTCAGTGTTTCCCAGTGTTGGCCTGGACCCCAGCGGGGCAGTGAGTTTGAGCTCACCGCCCTCGGGTTTGCATTTCTCTGCTCACAGCTTGAAAATCCCCCGTAGCAGGGAGCCCAGCAGGAGACCGATCTGCTGGAGAAGCTCATCCAGGCCCACAGGAGCACCCAACAGCTCCACATCCTCACCCAGCAGCAACCAAGGGGGCAACGCTGCAGGGCAGAACGTGGGGCTGATGAAACACAGTCCAGAGGGTTCAAACACTGGCCGCCCTCCAGAGCCAGCAGCTCTTTCACAACTGGCACAGAGGAGGCTGCAAGGACGTCAGGGCCTTCCCTGGGCTTGGCCAGCCCCAGCTGGGCACCGGTGGCCTCATCACCCCTCCGGGGACGAGCATCACCCATCCACATGCCCTGTGAGCGGGCTGGGGGCAGCAGGGGGTGTGGATGGACGATGTCCCGGCTCGCAGGGTTCCCACCGCCCGGCTTCCCCACAGCCGGTGTTTACATCCCCCCATACGCGCGCAGGAAAATCCAGCGCCGCGGTTGTTGACTTTCAGATAACCATGGCTACGACAAGGGTTATGTGAACTGCCACTCCCTCTCCTCTCGCAGACCTCAGGGACTTGGCACGGCTGCTGAAGGAGAAAAAAAATCAAGCCCGTTGCAGAGCAGAAGGAAGGTTTGACCGGTTTGGAAAAGATCCCTTCTAATTTGACCCACGATGGAGGAACTTCTCATTAGAGACTCCTCGGCCTCCGCAGGTTCTTTGCACCCCAATTCCCTGTGAGCTGCAGACACGCAGGATTCTGCTCTCCTGCTGGCGCTTCGCAGAAACAGTTGGGTTTTCCCTTGAGAAACGTCCCCGCAGCCTGGGTGTTGCCTCCCCAGCGTGAGAACAGCATGTTCACCATATGTGCGCATCTCAAAGAGCCTCCGCGCCGCGGCAAGCTTCCCCAAAAGGCAGCTCCTTTCTTGGGGGAAAATGTTGCCTGAGCTACAGAGACAGCAGAAACTGCAGCAACAGGACAGGGCATCCACGAGGGGCAGCCAGAGACCCGCTGTGCTAATGCCCTGGTTCTGAGTGTGTCTCGCCAGGCATTGCAGATCACCAGACCCGAGCGTGGCCTTGTCCCCAGGAGCCCCAGCTCTGGCTCCAGGGACAGCAGATGACCAGCCAGGGGAGCAGGAAGACCCTGCCAGGCCCAGCTGAACTGACCAGATCTACCCACTTAGAAGGGATTAGATGTTCCTAGAGACGAGGCACGCGGGTGCTGAGGTGACAGATGAGGCCTAGACATGCAAGGGAGGCAAATGCTCCCCAGCCTGGGGAAAAGAGCATGAAAATCCCCGCCAGCAGTGCACCAAGTCCTGCTTTCCTGCCTGCCTTTAGCAACTGGGGTGCTCTGCATCAATGCTAGGGCACAGAAAATGCTCTCTAAAGAGCATCAGCTCCACAAGCCAGGGCTGAATTCTCCTTTCAGTTATAACTCTGTGGACACGGAGCTACAGGAAAGGTGCTGAGCTCTGGCTGCTGTGACTCAGCCTGCAGCCACAGGGTGAAGGTGGCTGCTGCAGAGAACAGGTTAGACAGGCACCTGCTGGGAACTAGTCGGGACTCCGGTGTGGTCAGCACCACCTTCCTGCTCATCCCGCTCCTTCGGCTTGCGTTAAACCCTAGCGCCAATATAGGGGTGGTGGTACCTTCGTGCTGCCGTGGCGTGGATTCCCTCGTGGAGACCGGAGAGCCTCTGTGCAAGTGACTGCCGAAGGCCGTGCTGTGCCCTGCCTGGTGCTCCTCGTAGGCAAGGGCACTTTGGTGCGGCTTTCCTGGCTCAGGCACAATCACGGGAGCCCCTCTGGCAATGGAGCCTCCCGAGTTTGTCACCGGGCTTGGCCTGTTTTTCAGGCTCTCTTCGAAAGCTCTCTCCAGATTCCTTGCGTCTTGCATGATGTCCAGTGAGTGCACAGAGTGAAAAGTCCTCCCAGGACTGCCGATGATGGACCGTACGTCGTGCTTTTTGGTGCTTGTTGAGGACGAGCTGCTGTCATACTTCAGCGGGGTACCCTGGGGACAAGAGGCACAGCGAGGGGAGGTCAAAGGGGTGGCAGAGCAGACAGGGATGCAGTGGTCACCCACAGCATTCAACAGGGCTTACACTTCCCAGTTCAGTGGGACCATACATCAGCAACACCAATTTGCTTGTCAATGGCAACAGCCACCAGGGAAGCAGGGATGACAGGACGGCAGTGAGCAGGGCAGGGTGGGGTGCTCCTTTTGCACGCCTTGCTGTGCCCCAACAGGATGGAGATGAGTCACTGCTAAAGGCTGTCTGTGCCCATCACGCCTCTCTCCTACACACACTGCGAAATGAGGTAGAACTACCAGGTGCCATGGGAACCCTCCAAATATTTGGAGCTCAACATGAGACAGCGAGCCACGTTTCACCCTATGCAATAGCCTTGCTGGGTTGCCCATAAAGGGAAGAGGCCAAGACTGTGTATATCCAGAGTCACAACTGCTGAGGGCATGGGGTAGACTCTGGCCTGGAAGAAGAGCCAAATTTGGCCTCCTGAGCACGCCTGCATGGGTGGAGAATCGCTTTTCTAGCGTGCCGAGGAGGGCCTGAGCTCATTCCCCTGAGTTTTGTATTTATGTGCTGGGGAAGGATAGGAAAGGATAACGAATATCCAAGCAGCTACACATTCTGATCAGTGACCCGTTTGCAGCTTCAGAAGCTCTCTCTTCTCTCCTTTAAACTTGGGAACAGTCCCCTAGGATCTGTGCAAGGAGGACAGCTTGAGTGGGACGGATCACACCTGTGGTGCCATGTGCCATATGCTGTCCACCCTAGACTCACCTGTGTAATAGAGCCTTCCTTCAGAGGCCTGGTCAGAGAGATGTCCGGCGTCCGCCTCAGCTCTTCCCTGGGGATCTCATGGATCGATCTTCCCGCTTCTTTCACCGTGGCAACCAGGCCTTCATGGGCTGGTTTCATTTTCAGGGGAGTAAGGCCCTCGTGAGACCTGACCTTGTAGGCATCAGATAAGTCCCTTGGTGGAGTGTTTTCCCTCTTGAGCTGTTTGGCTTCTCTTCTGAGGTAGTCCTCATGGGCCTCCACATAGGACCGAGGTATTCCTGCAAGCCACCCAAAAAAAGGATGCAATGCAGTGATCCCCCAGCCAGACACTGGGCTCTCAGTCCCCAGGGGATGCTGAGGCCAACGGGATCTCTAGCTAATGCACATTGCTCAGGGATTGGTACCCAACCCAGCATACACAGCAGCTATATCACTAGTGCAACAGGACATGCTCACTTCTACTGGCAGTTTCTGGACCCATTTTGCACTACTCTAAATCTGCCTTCATGTGAGTAGCTGAGAATTTTACCCCTGACTTCAGTGGGAGCTGAGTTAGGCAGAAGTTGAGCAGGACTCAAAATTTCTCTCTGACCACACAACTGAGGTTGTAGAGATCTGCAGTTTGGACCATGACTTTGTTTCTTCATGCTCTAACTTGGCAAATGAGGGGCCTCACGTGTGAGAACATCGTGGTGTAGCAGTTTTTACACCTTACCTCTGGCTGTGGCCTGTTGCCTTGTTCTGGCCACAGAACAATGTGTGCTGGCATTACCTTGTGTTATTGAGCCCCGGATGTGATGCTGTTCCTTCAGGTTATGAGGACTGTGTCGGTCTGGAGGGATTGCCCGACCCATTAGACCTAGAACAGATCCAAGAGGAAATGCAGGGTTGTGACACAGAAGTCTGTTTACAAAGAACACACAATAATGGTGCTACCAGAGGATCTTGAGACAATGAAAAAAAAATAACAATTTTAAAATGACTTAATTTCTCTTTTTAAAATGTGTTGCCTTTTTGTAATCCTGGAACTGAAATACTAGTCCAGAAAGCAAAGGCAAATGGGTGAGTGCATACTCCTTGCTTTTCCATACTGTCCTGTTAGGATGTGCCATGGGATATAACTAACCACTGTTATAGTAATTAACTAACACTAGCTAATAGTAGTCGGGTGGCACATAAGGCACATCCTAACGATAAGAATATAGACGTGGGAATTTGCATAGAGTAGACCAGAGATAAGATGGGCTTTCTGCATCTCACTATGGGTACTGAGCTGGTGAAAGGTTTCACCCAGACCCACCTTCAATGCTGGCAGATAATGGATCACGGGCTGATAAACCCCTGCTGATCCTCCCCTCCATCATATCGTAGGTCCGCTTGGTTCCCGTGGGCTCGTGCGAAGCTCCCGAGCTCCTGCTGTCTTCTTTGGGACACTGAGAAGCAGCAACACCACCTGGGAAAGGGAACACAGAGAAGCAACATCAGGAGCACGGAAAGTCGGGACTTGCTGAAGGAGGGCGTTTACTACTGTTTGCATGTTTTGCTGAAAGATCAGATCCTATCTGAACAACAGCCACTGTTTGGCACTGCAAGTAACATCGCACAAGGTTGGCTTCCAAGAAATTCATCTGATGTCTTCTCTCCTCCCTGCCTGCCTCAGATTCCAAGTCCTGTTCCTCCTACTTGGGTAGGAGCATCCACCCTGCCCAACTCCCTTCCTCCCCCTTGCTGGCTAGATGTAGGCAGTGAGACATCATGGAGCAAGCTCAGCTCTGCTGTAAGTAGCTGTAATTCCCACTGAACTTGGCCCTGTGATTCTGGGGATTTTTTTTCCTGTTTGTTTTGATTTCTGCTAGACACCTACTGCTTGGGATGTTGTCCAGTCTTAACATTTGCTGAGACACTCCCTGGGTGAGAAAAACAGGCAAAAGAGGGGGTGAAGCAAAGCAGAGAAAATAAATTCTTTTGAAACAGCAACGAGTGTGCGTGTCCAGGACGGGCAGCGAGAAGTCCCATACAGCAAAACAGGACTGAGGGAGCCAGTCCCGGACTTGCCACACGACACCGACCACGGGCTCTTCCAAGGCTGGAGGAGGTTCTTACATAAGCCCAATGTGCAGCAGTTCTCCCGCATCGCCGGCACAACCCTGGCCGTGCCAGGCCGTGCCAGGCCGTGCCAGGCTCCCCCGGCGCGATGGGCTGCGCGGCACAGGCTGCCTGCTCTCGGCCTCTGCCCTGCCAAATCCATCCCATCCCTGCCGTCCAATTTCCTCCACCGAGTGCTGCAAGCTGTGAATTCACCCGGCGCCTTCCGAGCCAGCTGAATGCCCCGTGTTTATGTAACGAGCTCCAAGCTATGATGTTGGCTTGGAGAGATAAATGCTGCTGCCCATTATCCCTGGCCTGGTCTTGCCTGCCAAGAAATGCCTCTGCCCTGATCCTCCTCTTTCAGGGGAAGAGAATGTGGGTTATACAATTAGAGAATAAGGAGAAGTTAAAAACATTATTTCCATCATGGCAAATTGGGAACAAAAGTTCTCTTCTGCCAAACCAGCAATTAATAAAATGGAATCATTACAACCTCACACCCACTACCAGTTTCCACAGTCAGCATCCGCTCAGTCTAGAAAGGATTTGGGGAATGTTCTGGGAAACAGGCGGTGGATCTGTCCCCGAGCTGCCGTCTCCATCTCCTGCAGCGGGATGAAGCCGCGGGCGATGGTGGGGAAGCAGCCGGGTACCCCGAGGGGGTGACGATCCTGCACGCTGGTGTCACATCTGCTGCCAGCAGCCCCTCTGCACAGGGGACACGGTCCCGGGGCCCTTTTGTGCTGTGGGGAAGCAGGAGGAGGGCGCCCGGGAGGAGAGGGGCTAAGCAGAAAGGAAACCGCTCAGCAAACGCGTCCCTCGCCTTGCACAAGCCGTTGGCAATCACAGGCGGAATGAGAATAACCAATCTAGCACAATTCAGCTCGCACATGCTGCAGGATCTCAGCTCATTACAGCCCTTTTATTTTAAGCACCCTCATGACACTAAAGAATTTGCAATTTTTTTTCTGCCTGCCAAAATTCATAATCACCAACCATTTGAGTCTTTTAATTTCACTTATTTATTTAATCTTTTAACTCTTTCTCTTCCGTACCTCTCTGCCAGGATGCCACCAGCGATTCGGGATCTCAAGGACGGGGTGCTCTTGGTCCCTACACCCACACCTCGCACCAGGGGAAGCTGGTGCAGAAATGACACCTGGCAGAGGAACCGAATCGCCCCTCGCAGCTTCCCTCCATGCAGACGGAAGAAGACCCGGCCATCCCAGCGGGATGGGGTACCTGGCCCTTCCCGGGTCTCCCGCAGTACTGGGAATGCACTCCTCATTCCAAGGATAAGCCAGAGCCGAAGCAAGGACACGTGCGCTGGGAAACGGGCCGAGAGGTGCCGGGCAGCACGCAGCCCATTGCCGACAGCAGAGGATATTGGTGGGATAGGCCTGGGTTGGGATGTCCCTGGGGCAGGACCTGCATAGGAGGCAGGGTGATGGGCAAGGGGAAGGAGTCCAGGCTCCAGGTTTCCTTTCGTTGCCCCAAATGGCAGCTCAGGGGCCGCTTTGGGTACGGGTGGCCGTCGCCGCGCCAGCCCTCGCCTGGCCAGAAGCCCCATGGTGGCACCGCTTTGGAGACCTGCCTCGTTCCACTCTCAGCCCGGGCAGTCTTGATCAAAACAGCCTGTTGCACAAACGAGCCCCAAAACTCCTCCTGCCTCCTCCTTGGGACGAATCCTGCCAAGCATCCCAAAGGGCACGGTGACACAAGCCTCCTGCTGTGACCTTCTCATCGGGAGGAGAGCTGACAGCAGTCGCGGGCAGGCAGAGGAGGCAGAGCTGCAGCTGCAGCCTGGCCAGACGCTCTGCACTGGCCACTTTTATGTTGAGGCACTGGGGCTGAGAGTCCCGATCAGATGGGACTGGCAGGAGGGGGTCTCCATAACTCGGGGCATCCTTGTCCCTGCTCTGGGGGGAGAGGAGCCGGGCTCCCTGCCAAGGGCAGCTGCAGCCTGGAGATGCCTGATCCAGCACGCGGTGACAGGCGAGCATGGAGGAGCCCTTTCCAGCTCTGCTGGAGTTGGACATCTGCTTATCTCTAATGGAAGCCACCAGGGCTCGCGGAAGGGCTTTTTTGGCTGGTGCTGCTCTGAGAGGAGCAGGAGCAGAGGCGGCGGGAGCAGCTGGTGCTGGATGCTGGTACTGTGACCATGGCGAGGTGGCCGTCACCGCACAGCGCTGGGGACCCCTAGCAGCCCCTCGAGAGGCGCCCCATGGGGCATGCGGCTGGCACATGCACGGGGTGCTGCATGGGGCTTCGGGGGCTGCAGCACCTCCAGGCGCCGGGCCGTGGCAGCAGGCCAAGCATCCCTCGGGATCCAGAGATCCTGGGGAGCAGGCAGCGGGACGCAGGGAAATCGAGGCAGGGAGCAACTGTGTCCCGAGGGGATTCCCGCAGGGCAGCAGGGACGGCCCAAGGTGCACATGCTACATGTAGAAAATCCAATATCCAAATAAACCTGCGCGCCAGCCACGCTCGCTTCCATCCCATGGGCACCACGTTGAGCCCGGCCGTGGGCAGCCGGCCACCAAGGGCTGCCACGTGTCCAGCCCTGCTGCCACGGGTCCTGTGGTCTCCCCACGCCAGGCCGAGCTCCGTGAGCCAGAGCCAGGGCGAGAGCCGCCGCATGGGACAGCGGGAGCAGCGGGAGGGCAGCGAAGGAGAAGAAGGGAGAGCAGCGAAGCCGGAGGCACCACGCGAGACCGGCTCCCCTGCGCCAACCTTTCCTCAAACAGCTCCCGCATCCCAAGCATCGCCCAGCCCAAACAGCCAGGGGACACGGACTTACCGTCGTAGGAGAGCACATGGCCTTTCTTCCCTTCGTAAATGACATGTCCCTTGGGCATGGCATCCTCTCTCACTTTCTCTGCTCGGCTGGGGCTGTCTTCTCCGATTATCCTGGTAATGGTTCCTTTGTACAGCACTTCTGCTGGGGTGCCCTTGGAAAGCCACCAAGATCCATATTTAACAGTGTCACAAGCAATTAAGCAAGCAAGCGCTCGCGCACACAGGAACACTCTGTTCCAAAAGGGAGGCCGGGCGGCGGGGCGAGCGCGCCCGGCCTCCGCTTCCTGCCGCGGCCAGCAGCGAGAAATTTGCAGCTTAATTATTGATGAGGACAATAACGATGAGCGGTAAAAAGGTACGTGATTTGTGCAAGGTTGCTGGGAAGAGGCCCAGGGGAGCGAGGGCAGCGCGGAGGCGGCAGGGACCGGGCGCGAGGAGCCCGGCCGGCCCCGGTGCCGATGGCCACGCTCGCCCTGCGCCTCGGGGAAGCCCAGAGCAGCAGCTTTTTCCCCCTCTCCTTCCCTGCAGTTTGCACAATAAGCTGCTCCAGTCTCCCAGGTGTGCAGAGCGGCCGGCATAAGTCCCCACCTCTCCTTCAAAGCCCCCGCAGATGCACGTCCTGGAAGACCTCACTGATGCTTAGCACCCCCCTGCGGCCACCACGGCCTCGCCAAGCGTGGCCTGGATTCCGAGGGGCTGCCAGGGACCCGTGTGGTCCCTCTCCTCATCACAGGGACAGCAGTGGGAACCAGCTGTCAAAACTGAGCCCTCCATCAACACCCACCTAGCTGGGAAGCTGTAGGAGCCTTTTGTCCAGAGCCCTGTGCAGTGGGAGAGAGCAGACTGGGCATGGGCACGTTCTCCTTCCCCGTGCAAGGGAGGGGATGCTCAAGGCAGCACTGGAATCTTGGGTGTTTTATGCCAATGCTTGGGAAGACACTATCTCCTTGCCCCAACTTGGAGATATCTTTGCTCTGCGTCTGCCAGAGCCCCAGGGGTCCCCCTGGCCTTGGGGACGAGCCAGCGTGCGGGGTCGACGCTCCGGCCGTTCGCACAACACCCGGTCCCGGCTTTCCCAGCGCGGCCGTCCCAGCCCCAGGTAAGTTGCCTTCCTTCCGCGGACGTGCTCAGAGGGGATTTGAAAGCAGGTGATGACAGATGGTTTCAGAGCAGAGAGCATATATTCAAGATCTGCCTTCTGCGAACTGGATGAGTAATCCCAGATCACATATCAACTCCGGTACCGGGAGCTGCTGCGGGAACGGGGGCTGCTCCGGAGCGGGACGAGAGGGAGGCAGCCCCACGGGCCGCCGGCTCCAGGCGCCTGCAGGTACCGTCCTCGTGGCTGCAAGGGGCAGCTGCAGCTCCAGCTGGTACCTCATTCCCGAGCCAAAGGAATTCTAGATGGATTCATTAGCTGGGTGTAAACCAGGGTCTAAAGAACCCCTGCTCATCTCCTGAGCTTCATGCTCACCCCTCACTTGCCATAGCTGCCAGAGCAGCTCACAAGGGCATGGAGCATGAGCTGGGGTATTTCCAGTCCTCAAACACCCACTTCTGGCAGCTGTTGGGCACAGGGCACCAGGCAAACTGTGCTTTTGCTCTGCCCCAGGATTTGGGCCCAGGCTCCCAGGGCCACAGGGAACATGCTCAGCCTCCTTGAGGGAGGCGGTCAAAAACCTGAGCGCAAGTGGCTTTAAATATCTAAACGATGGCCAGATAAAATCCCCACAGGACACAGATTTTTCTTTCTCTTTTTTTTTTTTATGCTCTCCACTCTGTTACCAGATGAGCAATAACTCACACCGCAAAAACTATCGCCCGCTTGCCAGCTGCTCCTCCGAAGATGGATGGGGGAGATTAAAGCCAAAGCATCTTCCTGCTCGAGAGAGCCTTTGGGCAGGACCTACAGCACGGCGCGCTCAGCCCTGGCAGGAGACCTCGTTACCTGACGTGCCCCTCGCAGCCTCCCCATTCCCCTGCCAGGGCCAGCCCCTCCACCCGTCTCCTCTTTGCTGCGCTTCCTTGTGCTGGCAGTGTTTTCCCAAGAGCACTTAAAGCTGCTTTTTTGGGTTCTGGGCAGCTATTTCAAGCCAAGGGGATGGCAAGGGTTACGCCAAGGCACTTACATGCGTGATGGACCCTCGGTATGTGATGGGAGACTCCGGAGGGGGCCTGGATGTGGGGGTTCCCTTGGTGATGCTCCCTCCCGAGGCAGGGCCGAGGGAGGTACCTGTAAGACACAAGAGTTGGTGGCCGGATTTGTCACGCAGCCCAAAACCCCGCAGGGTGGAGAGCGCTCCCGGCTAAGCCGGAAGGATCCAACCCAACCTCTGGGCAGGGGAAGCCCTCAGCGCCACTTCAGGCTAAATCCAAGGTCTTGCACAGCCCTTCCCACCACATTCCCCGGGGGACCTTGCTGAGCTCGGAGCACGAAGGCGGAAATAACATTCTGGGTTATTCTGAGGCCACCCTCTCCCTGCTGCCTTCAGGAACGGGCCGGGCAGATTTATAGGCCCAGCAGAAAGGACGGCCTGTGTCAGCCTCTCCTGATATGATCAGAGCAGATCTCCAAAGAGATGCAGCACGGGGTGGTTTGAGTTCACTCGTGTGTTATTTGCCCTGGGCTGGTGCCAATCCACTGTACTCCCTGCATCTGACTGCATTCGTCGGGGGTTTTCACAAACCAGAATTTGCACTTAAAAGCATGGCTTGTGCACTTGCTTTCTTCTTCTGAGCTACGGGGAGAGCAAAATGGGAGGGCTCGATTTAAATGAAATGTGGTCCCAGCCCAGCTGCAGCACTAATAGTGAGGAGCCTGAAAAGCAATTAACGGCATTTAAACAGGTCTCGCTTTGCTGTCTTGAGCAACGATTGCGAGGTGCCCCTTAAACAGAAAAACAGAAAATTCCCGCCAGCATCGACACCCGAGGCCTTGATTCTGGGAGATGGCTGGAAACATCTTGGCATCCATCGGAGATGTTTTACAGACCTATCCAGCCACCTCCTCTGGGAATCCGGCCATCAGGAGCGCA